CACATGTCAGTAGTGGCACTCTTTTTGTCTTCACCACATAACCACACGTCTTTAGTGGCACTCTTTTTGTCTTCTCCACATAACCACACATGTCAGTAGTGGCACTCTTTTTGTCTTCTCCACATAACCACACGTCTTTAGTGGCACTCTTTTTGTCTTCTCCACATAACCACACGTCTTTAGTGGCACTCTTTTTGTCTTCTCCACATAACCACACGTCTTTAGTAGCACTCTTTCTGTCTTCTCCACATAACCACACGTCTTTAGTAGCACTCTTTTTGTCTTCTCCACATAACCACACATGTCAGTAGTGGCACTCTTTTTGTCTTCTCCACATAACCACACGTCTTTAGTAGCACTCTTTTTGTCTTCTCCACATAACCACACATGTCAGTAGTGACACTCTTTTTGTCTTCTCCACATAACCACACATGTCAGCAGTGGTACTCTTTTTGTCTTCTCCACATAACCACACGTCTTTAGTAGCACTCTTTTTGTCTTCTCCACATAACCACACATGTCAGTAGTGGTGCTATTTTTGTCTTCTCCACATAACCACACGTCTTTAGTAGCACTCTTTTTGTCTTCTCCACATAACCACATATTTCAGTAGTGGCACTCTTTTTGTCTTCTCCACATAACCACACGTCTTTAGTAGCACTCTTTTTGTCTTCTCCACATAACCACACGTCAGTAGCACTCTTTTTGTCTTCTCCACATAACCAAATATTTCAGTAGTGGCACTCTTTTTGTCTTCTCCACATAACCACACGTCTTTAGTAGCACTCTTTTTGTCTTCTCCACATAACCACATATTTCAGTAGTGGCACTCTTTTTGTCTTCTCCACATAACCACACGTCTTTAGTAGCACTCTTTTTGTCTTCTCCACATAACCACACATGTCAGTAGTGGCACTTTTTTTGTCTTCTCCACATAACCACACGTCTTTAGTGGCACTCTTTTTGTCTTCTCCACATAACCACACGTCTTTAGTAGCACTCTTTTTGTCTTCTCCACATAACCACACATGTCAGTAGTGGCACTCTTTTTGTCTTCTCCACATAACCACACGTCTTTAGTAGCACTCTTTTTGTCTTCTCCACATAACCACACATGTCAGTAGTGACACTCTTTTTGTCTTCTCCACATAACCACACATGTCAGCAGTGGTACTCTTTTTGTCTTCTCCACATAACCACACGTCTTTAGTAGCACTCTTTTTGTCTTCTCCACATAACCACACATGTCAGTAGTGGTGCTATTTTTGTCTTCTCCACATAACCACACGTCTTTAGTAGCACTCTTTTTGTCTTCTCCACATAACCACATATTTCAGTAGTGGCACTCTTTTTGTCTTCTCCACATAACCACACGTCTTTAGTAGCACTCTTTTTGTCTTCTCCACATAACCACACGTCAGTAGCACTCTTTTTGTCTTCTCCACATAACCAAATATTTCAGTAGTGGCACTCTTTTTGTCTTCTCCACATAACCACACGTCTTTAGTAGCACTCTTTTTGTCTTCTCCACATAACCACATATTTCAGTAGTGGCACTCTTTTTGTCTTCTCCACATAACCACACGTCTTTAGTAGCACTCTTTTTGTCTTCTCCACATAACCACACGTCTTTAGTAGCACTCTTTTTGTCTTCTCCACATAACCACATATTTCAGTAGTGGCACTCTTTTTGTCTTCTCCACATAACCACACGTCTTTAGTAGCACTCTTTTTGTCTTCTCCACATAACCACACGTCAGTAGCACTCTTTTTGTCTTCTCCACATAACCACATATTTCAGTAGTGGCACTCTTTTTGTCTTCTCCACATAACCACACGTCTTTAGTAGCACTCTTTTTGTCTTCTCCACATAACCACACATGTCAGTAGTGGCACTCTTTTTGTCTTCTCCACATAACCACACATGTCAGTAGTGGCGCTATTTTTGTCTTCTCCACATAACCACACGTCTTTAGTAGCACTCTTTTTGTCTTCTCCACATAACCACACATGTCAGTAGTGGCACTCTTTTTGTCTTCTTCACATAACCACACATGTCAGTAGTGGCACTCTTTTTGTCTTCTCCACATAACCACACATGTCAGTAGTGGCACTATTTTTGTCTTCTCCACATAACCACACATGTCAGTAGTAGCACTCTTTTTGTCTTCTCCACATAACCACACGTCTTTAGTAGCACTCTTTTTGTCTTCTCCACATAACCACACATGTCAGTAGTGACACTCTTTTTGTCTTCACCACATAACCACACATGTCAGTAGTAGCACTCTTTTTGTCTTCTCCACATAACCACACGTCTTTAGTAGCACTCTTTTTGTCTTCTCCACATAACCACACATGTCAGTAGTAGCACTCTTTTTATCTTCTCCACATAACCACACGTCTTTAGTAGCACTCTTTTTGTCTTCTCCACATAACCACACGTACATAGTGGCGCTCTTTTTGTCTTCTCCACATAACCACACATCAATAGTGGCGCTATTTTTGTCTTCTCCACATAACCACATGTCAGTAGTGGCACTATTTTTGTCTTCTCCACATAACCACACATGTCAGTAGTGGCACTCTTTTTGTCTTCTCCACATAACCACACGTCTTTAGTAGCACTCTTTTTGTCTTCTCCACATAACCACACATGTCAGTAGTGACACTCTTTTTGTCTTCACCACATAACCACACATGTCAGTAGTAGCACTCTTTTTGTCTTCTCCACATAACCACACGTCTTTAGTAGCACTCTTTTTGTCTTCTCCACATAACCACACATGTCAGTAGTAGCACTCTTTTTATCTTCTCCACATAACCACACGTCTTTAGTAGCACTCTTTTTGTCTTCTCCACATAACCACACGTACATAGTGGCGCTCTTTTTGTCTTCTCCACATAACCACACGTCTTTAGTGGAGCTCTTTTTGTCTTCTCCACATAACCACACGTCTTTAGTAGCACTCTTTTTGTCTTCTCCACATAACCACACATGTCAGTAGTGGCACTCTTTTTGTCTTCTCCACATAACCACACATGTCAGTAGTGGCACTATTTTTGTCTTCTTCACATAACCACACATGTCAGTAGTAGCACTCTTTTTGTCTTCTCCACATAACCACACGTCTTTAGTAGCACTCTTTTTGTCTTCTCCACATAACCACACATGTCAGTAGTGACACTCTTTTTGTCTTCACCACATAACCACACATGTCAGTAGTAGCACTCTTTTTGTCTTCTCCACATAACCACACGTCTTTAGTAGCACTCTTTTTGTCTTCTCCACATAACCACACATGTCAGTAGTAGCACTCTTTTTATCTTCTCCACATAACCACACGTCTTTAGTAGCACTCTTTTTGTCTTCTCCACATAACCACACGTACATAGTGGCGCTCTTTTTGTCTTCTCCACATAACCACACATCAATAGTGGCGCTATTTTTGTCTTCTCCACATAACCACATGTCAGTAGTGGCACTATTTTTGTCTTCTCCACATAACCACACATGTCAGTAGTGGCACTCTTTTTGTCTTCTCCACATAACCACACGTCTTTAGTAGCACTCTTTTTGTCTTCTCCACATAACCACACATGTCAGTAGTGACACTCTTTTTGTCTTCACCACATAACCACACATGTCAGTAGTAGCACTCTTTTTGTCTTCTCCACATAACCACACGTCTTTAGTAGCACTCTTTTTGTCTTCTCCACATAACCACACATGTCAGTAGTAGCACTCTTTTTATCTTCTCCACATAACCACACGTCTTTAGTAGCACTCTTTTTGTCTTCTCCACATAACCACACGTACATAGTGGCGCTCTTTTTGTCTTCTCCACATAACCACACGTCTTTAGTGGAGCTCTTTTTGTCTTCTCCACATAACCACACATGTTAGTAGTGGGTGCTCTTTTTGTCTTCTCTACATAACCACACGTCAGTAGTGGCACTATGTTTGTCCTTTAGAAGTCTAGTGTAAACGTACCAAAAAGAAGTTCTAGTCTTTCTAGCCTTAAAAAAGCTTTTCTCAGATTTTTGTACATTTGTAAGAAGAAGTTCTTCAATATTATTGTTACATCACATTTTTTCTAATTTTATTAAAAAGTCTGCTCAGAAATTATTTTATTATTACTGCAAAAACTTTATGAATTTTAATAGACAATATATCCTTGTAACACCCCTTTGAAAAATAAATAAACAACCTTTCTGGGATTTTAAAACTAGTTACCCAGGTAAAATTTTAATAATATTTTTATTCTTATCTATGGGGGTCTATTAAATTAAATTAATTAATGTTATTGTTTTACTAATCACAAATAATATTTACAAGCACATTCTGTGTAATACTTTTTGTTGTGATCCCCCTTGACAGTCATGTAGGCTAGAAACACATATCTTAATGCAAGGTCAGATTACACTGTTAGCCTACTTAAATAGGCCTTAGTGAAATATATTACTACATCTATAGTCAGTCTTTGAGAATCAGGATAAACAAGGGCAAATTTTGATAGGAATAAAATAAAGTTATTGTACACAAATCTGATAGCTGCAAGATTTATCATTTTGTTAAATTGTGCAATATGGATTGAAGTGATAAAGGGAAATCTTATGTAAAAACTGCCTTTAGATTTTCTTCAATTTTTTTTTAGCCAAAGTTCTAGATAAATGATCTAGGATAATGTTCTTGGATAAATCTTTCCCTAACTGATTGAACATTATTTCAGAGTGTTTATTTTTATATTTTAATTTGTTCTTTATTACAATCTGTGTGACAGCCTTGGGATCTTATTTACTGCAATTACAAGCATTTGGTTGACACAAGTGTCAGTGGCAGTTGTTTAATGAAGATGATAACATCAAAATTCATTTAATATTTAATTTTATTATGGGTTGTGTTGGGAAAATATGAGAGTAGGATCTATGCAAATATTAAGTTTTATAATTTGTGCGCTATCCCTAAAATAAAAAAGGAAATGTAAAATTATGCTTACCTTGTCGTACAAATGTTTGATTGACATCTAGAAGAATATCACAGCCTTCAACAATCATGCGTTCAATAGCCAGATTTTTTCTAATGTTCTCTGTTTCACTGACTTCGTCATGCATGACCTACACACAAAAGTTTACAATGTAAAATACATCTATAAAGATATAGATAGATCAAGGTTAATGACTTTATTTCCTTAAACGTCAAAGTCTGCAAATTATTAGTATTATTTTCCTCATTTAGCCTATCTAGTACTTTCACAAAGAATTACACTGATAAATTAGTCATTTAACCAAGAACATAATAATGACATTTAGATAATAAATAAAATAAATATATTTCACTACATGGATAACTATGAGGTACAGTTTAAATAGGTGGTGAGAACTGTAGTAATGATTTGACAACTATGGAATCCCCAGAGTATAAATATAATAGTGCAAACTCAAACAATTGTTGTCATCTGAGCAAATGTTGAACTTACCCTTGACAGTTCTTCAAGTTTACTTTTGGCAAACTCCAGACTTTCTCTTTCAACATGATCATGGGGAGTGTGGGCTAAAAGCTCATGCAATGTAATTATGTACCGAGGAATCTGAAACAAATTTTAAAAAAAACCAAGAGACATTAATACATTTAACTTAAAACTAAACAAACTTAAGCAAAAGATTACATTCTAACAGTTAGGTAGGAATATATGATTAACTTTTTACAACCCATGCTCATTAAGAAAGTTTAAATTGTTAGTTGTAGACAATGTAGTTCTCAATCCTTCTGGAGCTATCATGTTTTGGTCAAGTGTCTTTCTGGAAAATATTTGCTGTTTGATTTTTTCCCCATACACTTGGAGGATGGTTTCAAACAGTAGCTCCAATAAGTAAATTATTTTCCCAGAAAAAGAAAGTCATATAAATTCCACAGAAATGTGGTTAATTATATAAAGTGACACCTGATGCATAGGATAGGTCAGAAAAGTTTCCAGTGTCCGTCCTTCACATGCTGGTTTCTCCTCATATCTCTTTAATAAATTGTTGAACTCAAATTTCTGTTTGTACTCTGCCAGCACTTGTAAGCTGTAATGATGATTGCGAACATACTCTTGGTAGATGCTCAACATTGGTAGCAACATGTCAAAAAGGTCACCTGAGGGAGAGATAAACAACTTTGTGTTAAACTGTTGACAAACTAGGCACTTTATGGTAAGATATTACTGAAATAATTTTAAATTGACATAGAATAGAATGTAATAGGTAAATTGCCTTGAATGAGATCGTGTAAAGGAGAGTAATAAAAATAACTAGCAAATCTTTAAAATCCACTTTCTGAGTAATTTGCCTTGTCTGTTTTTTTTTTATAAATTATTATTTAAATTCTGAATATTTTTTACAAACCAGTTTACAATTTCAAGCAATTATAAAGAACATAATCATTCTATTAGGTATTAGTCAATAAAAAGGGATTCATCAAGCTTACAGCAAACCTTAATAACTAAACTAATTTTATTTTATTTGACTTCAGTTTTTTTACACAAATATAATTTAACATGAAAATTCATGTTTATCAACCTGTTGTTGGTGGTAAAAAAACAATTTGCAAAACACAGAATTATTTTAGTTCAGCAGGAAAAATTGTATCTAATAACCAAGCCAAATTTTAAAAACAAATGCTTATCACAACATTCTAAAGTTAACAAAAATAAATTCATGGGTTATTTCCCATGCATTAAGCTTTTTCACAAACTTCATTTTGTTGTTGATTTATTTCAATCAGCCTTTATTGATGTGACTATTTTGAAGAGTTTCTAAATTATTCAACCACCAGGTCACATAAACAGGTGAACTCTACTTCAGTAGCCCTATGGTTCTATACTTTACTTTTAAAAATGTGCAATGAGGGTACTTATCAATGTTTGTTTTGCAATTAAATTTCAAAAACTGTCAGGTAAAATTATCTTTAGGGTAATCTTAGCAATTTTGAACCAAGGTAAAATAGACTCTGGTCCAAACCATGTTAAGGTGGATGCCAAACACAAGCTGGCACTGCAGGACAAATGAGTAATCTTTTAAGTTACAACAGGGTGAGCCAACTCATTTCCTGAAAGATTTAAGTTGGTTTCAGCAACACCTGTCCTTTGGTGTGCCCACAGTAAATACCACACTTTCTACATAACAGCACTTTGAACTGATATGGTCTAGAATCTGGCCCTATAGAATAAGCAGCTTACTGAGTCTAAGACCACTGCCAACACTGTGCTGTGAGAACCTCCAGTGTTAAAGTTTAGAACAGAGAAGAAGAACCAGAATGACATTTATAGTTATATTTTAATATGATTATAAAAAAATTTCTAACCTAAGACTAATGTTGGCCAATTTTCAAGCCGTGCTGTGAGTCCCTTTAAGAAAATTTGATGAAGAAACAACAAAGTTTCGCTGTCAAATAAAAGAGATTACACAGAATTAGAATTAATCTTTAAATCAATTTTATGTTAATTAAAAAAAATTTCAAGAAGCAAGATTTTTTTTTAAATTAATTTTATTAAAATTTTTTCTACACAGACCTGTTGAGAAATATGGAATTGACATCTTCATGGCTAATAGGAGGTTTCTTTGAGCTAGCAGCCATCCTTAGAGGTCTTAGGAAGCATGTTACCAGACAGGATAGTTGCCTGTTATACTCTTCCTCACACTCAACCATGCTGAAAAATAAAGAGATAATTTACCTTGAAAAAAATTTAAAAAACAAAATTTTGATCATAGTATACTGAAATTCAAAGTCAACAAAAGAAGAAATCAAGAGGTGTTTTTTTTTTAAAAATCTGAATAAGAACATACCTAAAAACAATACTGTTTCTCTTGCGCATACTTTCTGCATGTGGTGATCTTATATATAACTCTACAATTTGTTTCCACCTTCTTCTGCATAACCATCCTCTGAAAAAGCTTTGTACCTATGTAAAAGAGATGGGAAGAAAGCGCACCAGTGCATTGTTTCTATGCTAAAAAATAGTAATGTTGCTAAGAAATAAAATAAAGATTAATAAACATATAATACTAATATACATACAGTGAATTGTAATGTGAATGTTCTTTGTTTTATAGAATTGAATTATATATAATAGTTTAAAATTTCCTTTTGTTTTTATTTGAAAATAATATAAAGTAAAACATTTTATCTATGCTTTGTTAAAAGATTAATTGTTTAGGACAAGAATATTTGTTAAAATAATTTTAAAGACAATTCACAACTTGAATAAAACTTTACATTTTAAAATTAAAATGATTGAAGAATCAATCAAGATGCTGTATCAGTTTTTTCCAATAGTTTTGAATAGTGAATTCATTTGTATATATTAAATTACATCTTCATAAATATCACTTTCAGAAATATTTTACACCCTCCGCAATTAAGAATTGAAGCAGATCACTGCCAATATTTAGCTACCAAAAAGCTTCTATTTTTTTAATTTAATAAAATTTGGATTTATATTTCCAGAATTTTAATTTTTTTAAATAAAAAACTTTTTAAAAATTTACACTGAGTAATAAAAAAATCAAACAAATGCTATGCTTAAATCTAAAACAAGCATGCCCAGCTTAAAAAAAATGTTTTCCTTGCACAAAATTTAGCTTCAGTTCTAGATAAACATGCTAGTGTGCTACTTCATACTTCAAGTGATCAACTCAATAACTTAATAAATGAGCACAACTCTACATTCCTAAAAACCAACAAAATTATGTCAAGACATCTAAACAAGTACGCCAAAATATATGAACTATAGCTGGTTCTAACAAGTGAAACTGCTGAGTTGAACTGTTTAAATAATTAGAGAATCAAGTGATCTTAGCCATTTCTAACTAGTGGCACATTAATCTCATAATGATCATACGACCATTTGTTTGTGGAACTTTTTGAACAGAGCAGAACTTACACACTTTTTTTAATTAACTACTCAGCAGTGGGGATGTTTTAAAAATAATCCTCAAAAATCCTATTTCACTATGAAGAGAGGATAAAGCTTAATTTAAAAAAAAATGTTTTAAAATATTTATTTTTTTAAATTGTGTTGATTTCTGCTGCAAGAGTAAACAAATATGTTCAAAGAAAAAATTATAACATTTCCTTTTGAGTTTTAGGAAAATAATTGAAATTAGGTCATGCTTGTAAATATATTGCATTTATCCCCCCTTGCCTTCCAAAACACAAGAATTAAATGACAACAGCTATCTACTGGACAGTTAAAGTACAGGACCAGTACAGCACTTCTCAAACCATTCATAACAAAGAATGTCAACTCCTGGACAACAAGCCATAATCAAAAGGGGCTAATTCATTGCAGATCTATCAAAAGTAAAAAATAACAACTTATCACAAGTACAAGTGCACAAATATTGTGATATCTGTTTCTTAAAAGCTTTTAAGCAAACATTTGAGTTAAATAACCAAGTATTTTGTGCCAGCAAAATAACCAAGTATTGTGTGCCAGCAAAAATAGTTGACATGGACGACAAATTTAAATTCATTTGTAGGTAGAGCTTTATAATCTACAACAACTTTTCTTGTAAATGACATCAGTTGGGTTAATTTGTCACGGTCATAACACATTTGCCTAAGTCACGTTTTCATGTTTTGAGAAAACTGAAGAAATAGGAATAACTTTAGTATTACTTCTGCTATAACACTATGGTACAAGTTTTCTGATTGGTTCATGACTTAGGCGATTTGCCATATAATATAATAATGTGTAAACATTGTTTTTTAACTATTAGCTCAAAACCCCCAAAAATGACTTAGGCGAATGTGTTGTCTGTAAGAGCATCTGCTAAACCAGATTAAATTCCTACTGATTTGAACTAAAAAATTTTATCATAAAAAATGGTCTTTATTTTAAGAGGTTTCAGGGGGTAGTGATGACTTTTAAAAAATAATAACAGTACATATTAATATAATATTCACCATCCTAATCATTATTTTACAAATCTTAGGGTTGAGTATCGATAAGCCAACAGGAAAAAAAGAATAATCATAACAATCACAATACTTTTCTAAGATTATGGAACATAAATGCTGCTTAATAATCTAAACTACTTTTGATCATTTTGGTTAGCTAAGTAGTCTGACAGTTATTTTCTTCCAAAAGCACCTAAAGTCACATTTTATAAACATCACAAGACGAAGAATACATTTTGAATTATACTGTGACAAAACATACTTAAAACAATGTAAACACCAAAACAAAGAAGTTTACAAAAACTTGAGATATGAAACATAACCAACTTTCATTTACAAAATCAAGGCTATTTAGTGTAATTTCTATGTAGCATCCTCAGTAGAGATTTATACCATACTTTGGAACTGGTTTAATCGCAAGCACTGTTATAATTACATCACAGATATTTGTTTTCATTGGTAAACCTCTTGCATTTTAAGTATATTGGTTAAAAGAGTTGCATTCTTATTCATTTTCTTAGCATTTTGATCCCAAATATGTTGTTGTGTAAAGATTTAATTTGAAGTTTATCGATTCCTCAAGTTAAATGATAATTTTTGAGGCAAAGACAAGGAACTGATTTCATAATGATCACATATGGAATTCACCATAATTTTAAATGTTTTCAGACTATAGAAATAATTCAGAAATTCCTTCAGGTTTCTGCTTTGCACTTTTATACATTCTTGATATCACAGCTGGTTGATTGCAAAAAATAGCTCCAGATATGTTACTAGTTTAGAATTTTCTTGTATTTGATAAAACATGGTTTCACATGATGTCAAAACTGTACCAAAAGCAAAGTAATCCAAAAACTAAAACTATCAACAAGCGATTTCAATAAACTAGCAACAGCTCTCCTAAAGAGCTGATGAGCATCTAAATAAAAAAATTAAACAGTACAAACATAAAAGCAATGTTTTTCATAAGGTATACAAATATTTCAATTATTACAGTTCTGGTTTTTTAAAGACAAAATGGTAATTACAAATCTATGTTTATAGCAAAGATAACCTAATGACTTGAACAAAAGCAAATCTAGGTCATAATTAACCATTTCAAAATAAAGAACTTCAGCAATACAAATTTAATTTAATGATGCATTGGCAAAATTTTAATTTGAAAAGCAATTGTTTTTACAATTGTTTTTAGCAATCTAATAACAGATTTTTTAAAAATATATCTTACAACATTACTTGTTTTATGTTTAATCTCTAAGTGGGAAATTATCCAACAAATAAAACGAAAGCAATAGTAAGATAGTTAAATATGGATTTAGAATTTTCTATCTAATAACTAAAATAATAAATCTATAGAAGACATTCTCATTTTATGCACTGTAACACTAGAAACTCAACATAAACTGTGCTACAGACATAAAAATCACAAACATGGTGCTCTGAGAAAGAAAACCAAAGCTTGATCTACTAGTCAAAGGGTGACTTTATCAATGCAACAAATGGGATACAAAAGTGCAAAGAACAGCTCATTTAAGAGATTATTTTAATACAACAAAGAAATACTACTAAAAACATACACATCTAAAGAACAACCCTAACTTGCACATGAAACAGAACTCACCGATAAAAACTGGCAAGGGGAACAATAAACAAGATAAAATATCATATTAGATAGACTTGTCACACTTTTACAAGGCAAGGGGAAAGGGTCGCAAGTGCCTATTTAAAATTTTTAGCATGACATGAAATATGTAGCATATATGAACATATATTTGTTATCTCTTGCTGCAGATTTCTAAAATTTAAGACAATATTATCTTTTTGAAAGCAGTTTATTAGTAAGAAATATTGTAACTGCTGGCACAACAGGAACTTAATTTATAACAGTTTTTATTTTGTAATCAATTTCAATAAAGAAACTTTCCTAATTTTAAAAAGTACTACTCTATCAGCTTAAAGTTGTTTGTTGTAACTTAATTTTCAGTTAGTGATACCCCCAACTGAATGGCAACATTACAGAACGACAATTATGAGACTTTGGCTAAATGCTATTTATCAATTAGCTAGACTCCGACTGGATTACTATTTATTACAAATTACAGCTATGGGGGTAAAGCTAACTAAAAAGAAACTTCTTTGAATTTAGAGTTAACTAGCTCTATAACTAACCAAGATTGATCTATCTGAGATGTTTATATCTAGATACTACTATACAGTGATCTTACATGACAAATGTTTGCATAACATTAAAACAAGCACATTTCTAGATGGTGTATTGGGAAACTAATAATAATTAGTGATTAACATAAAACAATGACAACTTGCTCTACTCTCCAAACTACAAATTTACACTATCACTAGCTCCAGTTTTAAACCGGTATATTAATATTATATCATCATTAAAAATTACTTATAGGGACAACATTAATTTAGCTAAATAAACTATCAAAACGTTAACATTTTGAGCATATTTGTTTTTGTGGAATTTTTAATATGTATCAACAATTAAATTGAAGCATATTTGATATTATTAGCCATATTGATCTATTTTTATAAATATTGCTCAGAAACTAATGATACCACTGTTTTTTAACGTAATTCAATGTATTATATTGACCAAACATATTCTTTTTAAAATGGATTTATACAGTCACTTGTTAATTTATTATTAAATGAACACCAATGATTTTTTGAAATATAATTCAATGATCATCATATCCAACTTATTTTTTTTAAATTGGTTTATAAGGCCACTTGTTAATAATTAATTTAATTAATAGTAGAATCTAGATCTAGATGAATTCATTTAGAATTGTGGTAATCAGTGTTTCTTCCAGACTTTTTTCTCCAGGGGGGGGGGGGGGGGGGGGCCACGTAATTTTCAGGGGGGGGGGTCAACATTTTTTTTGGGGGGGGGGGGGGCAGACACTAGTAAAAGTGTATGTTTACTATAGAGATCTATATATCTAAATTCCATCTCGTTCTGGGGGGGGGGGGGGAGGCGGTAGACTTTCTTAGGGGGGGACTGAAGAGATGCCTTGAAGAATAGGCTTTTTGATGAGAATTACAGAATGATTTTTTTATTAAAAATGTATTAATAATAGCTAGAATACTAGTAAACTAAGCTAATTTAGCATATTTTAACTTTCTGTGCAAAGTCATTATTACTGAAAAAAATTCCAAAGTCAGGTCAGCCTGTGGCACCCTCCACTGAACTTGAAAGAAGGAAAAAAAACTTGACCTGTGACCTTCATTAAAATAGAATTTACTTATGTTTCTTTTTAACTATTAGTAAACATGTGCTTAATATTACCCAATACGTAATAAAAATTTGACAATTAATTTTAATTACTGTTGTAAAGTGAGATAAACAGCTTAATAAACACGTGTTTTCTTGAGGGGGTGTGACCCGGGTGTGGCACATCGCATGTAACTTTTTATTTCTGTGTTTTATGACTATTTGTTCACAATCAGCATGCTATGCTTTTAAAATTGATAAAGGGTAAGTATACCAAGCTACAAAACCTAAAATCTAACTAATAATTCATACTTTCAGTTTAAAAAATAATAAAAACGATTATCAATGAAGAAAGCGTAAACATTCTATTTTTAGGTGTGACATAAAAAAACAGTCATAAACCTAGCCAAATGATTGGATTCTTGCGCGGCACACATTTTCCCGCGCCTCGTGTTCACCAAAAAAGATTATAATAAAATGGCATTATTACTTGCACGGACCACATCTCATTCCGACCATAAGTTATTACCAGTTAATTGTAATGTGTGTAAAATTGATACTTTCAAGTTTCATATACACATAGTTTGGTTTATTATACACGGGGTATTTTAGAGTTATTTGATTCGAAAGATGAGAATTATATAGAGCTACTTTCACTAAGGCGCCGCTTGCGAGACAAACAAAGAAATTAGGCCAAAAGTAGATCCGACAATTCTTAATTAATAGACTTAAATAGAAACGGATAGTTCCGATTTCTAAAATTAACGATGGCTTCGTAATCATTAGTTTTATCCCTCTACCCATTAGTGAAAGCGAAACTGGTCGCCATTTTTGGTAAGCGCATGAGCCGTGAGATGGCTTCAAAACAACAAACCCGGAAGCTGTGAATCGAACGGCCTACCTTGAAGAAACTCTGGTGGTAATTTAATTAAATCTCATTTTTATTACATATAAAGTAGATCTAGATTCTAGATTATTTTCTAGAGTCTAGTACCGTAGCCGTAAAGTCTTAAAGTTAGCCCTGCAGCATTTTTATATCTAGAATCTTATTTTTTTCTAGATCTAGATTGATTCTAGATCTAGACCCTAGCTAGATCTAGATCTAGATCTAGTTATTCTAGAGTATTCTAGACTCTAGATCTGGATTTATCCTAGACTATTTTCCTAGACCTAGATTTTCAAACAGCCTTTATTTATATTATAAGATCTAGATCTAGATCTAAATCTAGTTCTAGATCTAGATCTTGTTTCAACTCTAAAAGTAAGCCTATTATTACTAGATCTAGATCTAGATTCTAAATCTAGATTCTAGATCTATTCAGTTATTATACTAAGATCTATTTGGGGACTTCGTCTGCTGCTGAAAAGGAGCTGGCCAGTTTTCACAAAGATTTTATTTTAACTATAGAATTGATCTTTTAATACTATTAGATTTTTTAGTTAAAAATAATTATTTAGAAAATAGTTCACGACTAACTCAGCGTTAAAGTGTGTGTATATTTTTATTTTGTCTTTTCTTTAAATTTGTCAACTAGTCTAAAAATGTATAGGTCTAGATTCTAGATCTAGATCCAGATCTATATTAAAATAAAGTTATCGTGCTAAATTTTTCTTGTAGCCTATTTCAAAATACGACATATATTTTATGACTCATCCGACACGATGTATCCGTTTTCAGTTCTATTTTAGATGGTGTTTATCGAACGGATGTCTCCGGTAAAAGTAAATGTTCATTTGTTTTGAGCGCTTGTATGGATGTATATTTAGGAGATGACGTTATTTTCCTTCATCCAACTCCAATTTATCCAAGTCCAATTTCAGTCTTTGGTTATTTCCTTTATAGGCTTTTTTTTCTTCTTTAAAATCTTTGTTACCGATACTTTTATTGTTATTATTAAAAGCAAAATTGCCGTTAATACAGAAACATTTTAAGCATGTGTTTTCACACATTTTTCTTCAATTTCTAAGTTTAAGTTTAACATGTGAATCTTAGTGAAAACTATATCCACTGGACTCCAAAATTTTTGTGTCTACTTTTCCATGTACAAAAGTCTCATCATTAACCTGTTGTTTTTTTTTTATTGTTCTTGTCATAGACAAATAAGTATGTAGGCTAAAGAAAATATCCTATGACACTGCAAAACAATTAGTGAAAAGGTAGTGGCACTGGCACATGGGCATTTGAAATAAGCATCTAGGCCTAACTAATCTAAGGAGTAAATATATATTCTGTCCGATTATTCATGGAAAATAAATCAGAAATTTATTTTAACAGTAAAATTGATTTCACCGTGAAAAAATCTGGCCATTAATATTTCTGGCACTAGGCCTAGTTTACTCAAAAACTGATAGGTTCGGCTAGCCTGGCATAACTACTACCTCCTAGTGATGGCAATAATTTTGATAACAAATTTTATCAACATTTTTGCAAAGCAGAAAAAAGGCTCTAGCGTAAAAACTCAAGCATATTTTTAATACATGTAACTTCTATTACTAAATTAAGAGACAGACATGTATTAAATTCACTAATTTAATAACCTCATATATATATATATATATATATATATATATATATATATATATATATATATATATATATATATATAGCTTATATGTGATACCTTAAAATACTGCATAATGTGCAACTGTCCAGTGTGTCTAACACTAAAATATTTTTTTTTTTTATCCTTGCCACTGTGTGCAACAGGTAAAAAGCTTCCTATATTACCATTTTTGTGTGACTGCGTGGCGCGTTGATAATATTTAATTGTGTGGCTTTCTGGGAAAGGCAGGCAGCATTTCATCCATAGGCTTTGTATTGGGGACATAGGTGGATCGATTTTCTTAAAAAATAATCATATGATGAGGTTGCATGCAACACCTTGTATCTATTTCAGCTACGTGGAAAACATTTGGATAACATTTTTGTCATTATTTCATGCATTGTATTTTTTCCCCCAATGGACTTTTTTTTTTTAGTTTCGGGAAATCATTGTGAAAGCTTATCTCCCCTGAAGCTGCTAAATTTCTAATTTTTCCATTTATTTAATGAATTCATTTTGCCATCAAAACTTAGTATTGCCTGCCTTCCACTGAAGTGGGTGGACAACAACAACAACTAAGGAACAGGAGCTAAGGCAGGCAGAAGTAGGAAATGAAAGACCCACTGAAACTGCAACCTTTTTTATTTTCTTCAGATCGTCGGTTTCTTCATCGGATTTGCAGTGGTTACCGTAAACCTCTTTTTTAAACTTTTGGAGCTGAAAAATACAGTGGTTACCGTAAACATCTTTTTTTAACTTTTGAAGCTGAAAAATAGAAGTACATTCATTCACATGCACTACTAAAATATCATATCTAAGTAGAATATGAAAATTTAAAAAATAACAATAATAAAAATATAAGTTTTATTTAATGAATTTTCTGAGAAATAGGCCTATGCCTTAAACCGCAAAGATTTCTACAATTAACAACAATATTACCCTCTTAATATACTGGTAAAATTAAACCGAAATGTAATAAATATTGCGATGATCATAATAAAATTAAAGTGATTGAAATGACAGCTATGTGAGTAAAATACTTTGTATAAACAACAGTCAATGAAATAACGTTTTTAAGAAATGCAATTTTTTTAAAATCTGCAATCCCGCAGTGAATGGCGTAGTTTTAAATGGCTTCTTCGTACAATATCTGTTGCATGAATTTAGATAGGCCGACCCATCCACGCAAGTTTGTGTAGCACATAATTAGGACACCAGAGTTTTTCTAATAGAATAAAAGCCGCCGATACTTCGGATAATTATTATTATTATGGTGCTTTACTGGCCATATACTTCCTTGTGTTATTACAAGAAATCCATTATTTCCGTAGAGAAATGACACAGGTTACCATCACGTATATTCTACAATAGCTACATGCAATCACCTACGACTGGAATATATACTTTAATCAGTGTCCGCCCCATCCCTCACCAGAACTTTAAAAAAATTTAAAGTGTGCCCCACTCCCCCCCCCCATACTTTCTCTCCCCCACCCTAGTGAAAAATGTCTGAAAGAAACACTGCCACCAAGCGTAAACTATCCTATGTATTTGTTCAATACGTGAAGTGGGGATAAATTGAAGGTGAACTGCATTAAGGAAGAGTATGAGTTCGTTTAGAACAAACGCATGTATCTATTCAAAATTATAAGTCTAGCCTATATTAAAAAAATGAAAAGCCAGTTCCCAAAATGTCGTTTAAAATAGCGTACATGCAACTATACAATTGTTATTTGCAGCTTTTTAATCAAAATCTTGTGATACTTTAGCCGAAACCCCGATGTCAAGTGATGTAGGCCTTTGCTCTCAGTTCTATTCTAGCCAATGGCTAATCTTTCAACGTCACAGTACCACGTGACCACGTTCCAATCCAGGGCTGACGTTTCATCACGCGCTCCAGTCTGTCTAGGAGTCACAGCTACAAATGTTGGACTGTCTGGGAGTCACAGCTATAAATGTTGGACTGTCCAGGAGTCACAGTTACAAATGTTGGGTTAGGACTGTCTGGGAGTCACAGCTACAAATGTTGGGTTAGGACTGTCTAGGAGTCACAGCTACAAATGTTGGACTGTCTGGGAGTCACAGCTACAAATGTTGGGTTAGGACTGTCTGGGAGTCACAGCTACAAGTGTTGGTTTAGGAATGTATGGGAGTCACAGCTACAAATGTTGGTTTAGGACTGTCTGGGAGTCACAGCTACAAATGTTGGACTGTCCGGGAGTCACAGCTACAAATGTTGGACTGTCCGGGAGTCACAGCTACAAATGTTGGACTGTCTTGGAGTCACAGCTACAAATGTTGGACTGTCCGGGAGTCACAGCTACAAATGTTGGACTGTCCGGGAGTCACAGCTACAAATGTTGGACTGTCTTGGAGTCACAGCTACAAATGTTGGACTGTCTGCGAGTCACAGCTACAAACGTTGGACTGTCTGAGAGTCGCAGCTACAAATGTTGGACTGTCTTGGAGTCACAGCTGCAAATGTTGGGTTAGGACTGTCTGGGAGTCACAGCTACAAATGTTGGTTTAGGACTGTCCGGGAGTCACAGCTACAAATGTTGGGTTAGGACTGGGAGTCACAGCTACAAACGTTGGACTTTCTGGGAGTCACAGCTACAAATGTTGGACTGTCTGTGAGTCACAGCTACAAATGTTGGGTTAGGACTGGGAGTCACAGCTACAAATGTTGGACTGTCTGGGAGTCACAGCTATAAATGTTGGACTGTCCAGGAGTCACAGTTACAAATGTTGGGTTAGGACTGTCTGGGAGTCACAGCTACAAATGTTGGGTTAGGACTGTCTAGGAGTCACAGCTACAAATGTTGGACTGTCTGGGAGTCACAGCCACAAATGTTGGGTTAGGACTGTCTGGGAGTCACAGCTACAAGTGTTGGGGTTAGGACTGTCTGGGAGTCACAGCTACAAATGTTGGTTTAGGAATGTATGGGAGTCACAGCTACAAATGTTGGTTTAGGACTGTCTGGGAGTCACAGCTACAAATGTTGGACTGTCCGGGAGTCACAGCTACAAATGTTGGACTGTCCGGGAGTCACAGCTACAAATGTTGGACTGTCTTGGAGTCACAGCTACAAATGATGGACTGTCTGCGAGTCACAGCTACAAACGTTGGACTGTCTGAGAGTCACAGCTACAAATGTTGGGTTAGGACTGTCTGGGAGTCACAGCTACAAATGTTGGACTGTCCGGGAGTCACAGCTACAAATGTTGGACTGTCTTGGAGTCACAGCTACAAATGTTGGGTTAGGACTGTCTGGGAGTCACAGCTACAAATGTTGGTTTAGGACTGTCCGGGAGTCACAGCTACAAATGTTGGGTTAGGACTGTCTGGGAGTCACAGCTACAAATGTTGGGTTAGGACTGTCTGGGAGTCACAGCTACAAATGTTGGACTGTCTTGGAGTCACAGCTACAAATGTTGGGTTAGGACTGTCTTGGAGTCACAGCTACAAATGTTGGGTTAGGACTGTCTGGGAGTCACAGCTACAAATGTTGGATTAGGACTGTCCGGGAGTCACAGCTACAAATGTTGGGTTAGGACTGTCTGGGAGTCACAGCTACAAATGTTGGGTTAGGACTGTCTGGGAGTCACAGCTACAAATGTTGGTTTAGGACTGTCTGGGAGTCACAGCTACAAATGTTGGTTTAGGACTGTCCGGGAGTCACAGCTACAAATGTTGGGTTAGGACTGTCTGGGAGTCACAGCTACAAATGTTGGGTTAGGACTGTCTGGGAGTCACAGCTACAAATGTTGGTTTAGGACTGTCTGGGAGTCACAGCTACAAATGTTGGGTTAGGACTGTCTGGGAGTCACAGCTACAAATGTTGGGTTAGGACTGTCTGGGAGTCACAGCTACAAATGTTGGAAGCTGTACGGAGTTTGGAGCTGTTGGTTCTTGCAACAATGGAAGCTGTTAGTCTCCAAAAGCATAGCGCTACCAGTGCGTGTGTTTATTATGCCAGGCATCAAACAGGCAGATAATGAAGAAGGGATATGTTAGCACTGGGAGAATGGAAATCTTGCAGATGTGCCCGATTCGGCCATTCTCCGCCTTTGTTACGCGGAGTTTTTCCCCCTGATTATTTCGGTATTGATTTCCTTAGCGCGGTAACGCCATTTCTATTGTTGGCGCTTCTATTACCATATATAGATGTCACTTGTAGAACCATTTTTTTGACATTTGTAGCTTCGAGTTGTAGACATTTAAACGTAAAATAATGTGTGATGTGCAAGAGAGGGGGGGGGGTGGAGAGAATCAAAGAATTTATAAGAATTATTTAGACATTTTTACAGACTACGTGTTTACCATGTACACAATATTTGTTTTAATTTCTAGAAGCATTACAAATTATTTGAAACACCAATTCCCCCCTCCCCCACCCCCACCCCTTCCTTTTCACCCCCCAGCGTTGGTTGTCCTGTCCCGCTTTCTGTACACGTGGTTGTTGTCACACCGCGTCACGCCTTTGATGCCGATAAAGATACGGCGCCGATAAGATCAAATCGGATATTGTTTCAATTTACTCGAGGGGACGGGAGGGATCGCCACGTGATTAAATCGATATTTCCTTCAGTTATAGCAATCTGTTCCCACTTTTTATGGACACCTTTTGCATCGTTCAGTGCTGGAGTTAACACTATGTCCACATTTTTGGCACTATATCTATTACCATTTTTGGCACTATATCTGTTAACACTTTGGACGCTATATCTGTTAACAATTTTGGCACTATATCTGTTAACACTTTGGACGCTATATCTGTTAATACTTTAGGCGCTATATCTGTTAACACTTTGGACGCTATATTTGTTAACACTTTGGGCGATATATCTGTTAATACTTTAGGCGCTATATCGGTTAATACTTTTTAGGCGATATTTCTGTTAATACTTTGGGCGATATATCTGTTAATACTTTAGGCACTATATTCATACGACGCTGTTTGATACCAAACCTAATGATTGTTTAGCTTTTCCTTTGATAAAATTTATTGAAGTAACGGAATGATTGAGTAAACTAAAACTTAATTCTCAAGACATTAACAAAAATATGTAACTAGCATAGTATCCTCACTCGCTCGTACGAAATATGCTGTGTGAATCAACATGATGTTGAATCGAGCGTTTGTGTAGATATGTTTTCTGTGTAACTTCATATAACAGCGTATCATAGCATATATGGGCTTTCTGTGTAACTTCACATAACAGCGTTTGATAGCATAAATGGGCTTTCTGTGTAACTTCACATAACAGCGTTTCATAGCATAAATGGGCTTTCTGTGTAACTTCATATAACAGCGTTTCATAGCATATATGGGAATCACAGGGCAGTTCAGTCGTGTGTTAGTTTTGTCGTGGAGCACTTGAGCGAGGGACAGTTCGATCAAGGCAGGAGGTACACTTTCAATGCAAGGAACTAAACCCTTGACTTTCTGTATGACCAGTGCACTTTCTACCACTAGACCACGCTAAGTACAGCATCCATACGCTAGTACCCTAATCCTTACACTACCACAACACTCCGTAACTATCGACTATCCTACCATTAATCCCAACCACAGCATCTAAACCAAACGACCAACCATACCGTCAACTTTAGCACAGCAGCTAAACCAAACGACCAACCATACCGTCAACTTTAGCACAGCATCTAAACCAAACGACCAACCATACCGTCAACTTTAGCACAGCATCTAAACCAAACGACCAACCATACCGTCAACTTTAGCACAGCATCTAAACCAAACGACCAACCATACCGTCAACTTTAGCACAGCATCTAAACCAAACGACCAACCATACCGTCAACTTTAGCACAGCATCTAAACCAAACGACCAACCATACCGTCAACTTTAGCACAGCATCTAAACCAAACGACCAACCATACCGTCAACTTTAGCACAGCAGCTAAACCAAACGACCAACCATACCGTCAGCTGTAGTACGTCAGCTAAACCAAACGACCAACCATACCGCCAACTTTAGCACATCATCTAAACCAAACGACCAACCTCATCTTTGAGTTTCTTGACCTCGCATGCAAGTTCCTCCGTCTGCTGTACGTAGTGCCACTTGGCCTGACGCTCGCTGTCCAGAATCTGCAGAAGATGCAGGTGTTTCTGTTCCAGCTCTTCTTTCTGCTCCAGCACTTTGCTGTAGCTAAAATAGAAATATTCCATACAGATAGTTGATACGTGCATAATTAATGGAAAACTTGGCATAAACCAAATGACAAACTTGGCATAAACTAAATGACAAAATTGGCATAAACTAAATGACAAGCTTGGCATAAACTTAATGACAAACTTGACATAAACTAAATGACAAACTTGGCATTAACTGAATGACAAACTTGGAATAAACTAAATGACAAACTAGGTATAAACTAAATGATACACTTGGCATTAACTAAATGACAAACTTGGCATAAACTAAATGACAAACTTGGCATTAACTAAATGACAAACTTGGCATAAACTAAATGACAAGTTTCTCATTAAAATAAATAACAAATTTGTCATACAATAAATGCTAAACTTGTCACATAATAAATGGAAATATTGTAAATAATCTATACTGAACCCTTAACAAGCTATTAACTGAAGTTAATTTAAATAAGAAAGCTAAAATGTGCTGGAATGTCATTGCTACTTAATCCACATCAAGGGTACTAGATTCTTGATCAGCGTGATTTTAATGAGGCATCGATGATGGATCAGTGATGAGTGGTGCCAGCAGGGATGAATGGCCTGATCAGTTTTTACGGCCGGTGTGTGCTAATGCCCCCCCCCCACCACCACCACGACAGTGCTCCTCCCACCCATTCTATCGTCATGCAACCCCCCCCCCCCTTTCCCCCTACACACTGCATGTTGCAAGGTCGATAGCAATCCCCCACCCCTCTATGATTAAAAAAAGCAAATTTTCCGATCAGATCTAACAATCAATTTGGTAGGTGAAGTAGAGTTCATATGTTTCTTAGAGTTGTTGTGGTTAGCATTAAGGGAACCCGCTTTTACTTTCCCTAACGTGAGTCAGGTACCTACTAGAGCTGGGTGGACATAGGAACGTCATGCAATCTCGAGTGTGTGCCCCCCCCCCCCCCACCACCACCACCGAGATCCGAGCTCTAGACCTCCATGCTAACAGTTAAGCGCCGTCCCAACATAGTGCCAATTAAAACATCTTCATCCACATCCTGATCACTGATGAAAAATCACACAAAACACCCATCCCAGCCCACTCTCACCACATGTATTTGATAGACCCCATCAACTATTTGAGTACCCCAACCAACTGCACGTGATGCGGATCCCCATCGCCTTCGTGCTATGAACCCCCCCCCCCCCCCCCCACCTTCCGTCCATCACCTGATTTCAATGCAAAGACCCCCGTCCCCCACCCCCACCTTTATCGCGTATCTCACTCACATATCCCCATTAGACCCCTGTACATTAGACCCCTGTACTCCCGTCTGATATCCTAGCTGGGGTTGCATATCAAACATGACATAAAAGCTGACATTTAACATAGCTTTAATTAACTTATGCTATCAAATTACCCAATCCTTTTACACCACTTTGAGGAGACTTCTTTAATGTAATTTTAACATTACATCCTGGCATGCTGCAATATTTCACAACGCTATCGTGTTGGGCAGTACAAGAACCAACAATATGGATCACACCACGGACTATTACCTGGCTCTTTTGATGGCGTCAATCCAAGCGTTGCATTCAACTTCCGACTCGCTTCTCAAATCATACTGCCGTTGGCCTTCTATTTTGTATGTAATGGTGAACGCATACTGGAATAAACGAAAGAAATAACTTTTATTACAATAGTTAGAAATCTTTTTTTTTAACTTTTAAAGTATGATTGATTCAAATAAATAAATTAAAATAGCATGAAGATGACAGATGTATTCGATAACTTAAAAAAAAAAATATCGAATCAAGTAATTCGGTTGTTGTGGGCGTACATTTTGCCATCATGTATCCACTTCTTTTTAGATATCGCGAGACATTTAAGATTTTCTATAATCAGTTCGAAACATGTTCAAAAACTGCATGTCTCGAGAAAAATAGCATATAGATCTACCTCCTAAACTCTAAACTTTACATGTTGGCAGTGTTTGATTTAACTAAGTATCTAATCAGCTGAATAAAATGGAACATTATAAACGTGATAAAGAAACAGAAATAAATGTCAGATTAAACAACAGCATAAAAGATATTTCAATGGATTTTATTTGCTATTGAAATATATTTCATAAATGTTTGTAAGTAATGAATAAAATAGCAATTCTAAAGATTACCAACTACATCTATTTTAGTTTATTCTTGACAAGCAGATTTTCTAATGTGGGTTTTAAACGTCAAATTGATTGATTAACATGGACTGAGCTGTTTCCTGTCGTCATGGTGTTTCAGTCTGTCCGGATACAGTTGCCTCACATTGGCTCTCCGGAAACACGTTGTCTAGCACTGACTAACCTGTCTGGCACTGTCCGGATAGAACCTGTCTGGCACTGTCCGGATAGAACCTGTCTGGCACTGACCGGATAGAACCTGTCTGGCACTGACCGGATAGAACCTGTCTGGCACTGTCCGGATAGAACCTGTCTAGCACTGTCCGGACATGACATAACCAACACCAGTGGACACAGGTCAAACTGACCGCAGCGACTTTTTTTCAGTTCATTCTTGGAGCTTCAGAGTTGAACTTAAAGCTGGACACTTTACACACCAATCAACTCTGCCTTAATTGCTTGGATTAAAACGACACGCTAATTGCTTAGATAACAACGACACGCTTATCAATGCATATACTAGTATCTGCCCGGCAAAGTATACAGTATCTCGGCACTTATCACCGCGTATATTACCCAGACACACATAATAGCTTCACGGTTCGTACGCGTACAATAGCCATCGATCCGCTTGGGTGAATTATTCATCCCCCACCCCGGGGCAAGGGTCTCAATAATGCAAGCGGCACGGTACAAACACAAACCTCGGGCGAGCTACCTAAGGCCACACTCGACGGCACGGCCGTTACGCGAAATAACCGACTTGCGAAATAACGGCTCGACAAAATGACTGGCTGGCGAAATGACTTGGAAACAAAAAGCTGAAATCTTGCAAGGATCATCAAATATTCATGGTCTGGGGACTTGACACAAGCCAGAGAAGAAGTCTAATAGTCAATGATTGCGGTCAGCTTTTACATCATGAAAACCAGGGTCTAATAATCAATGATTGCGGTCCATTTTTAAATCATTAAAGCTAAAAGGTCTAATAGTCAATGATTGCGGTCAGCTTTTACATCATGAAAACCAGGAGTCTAATAATCAATGATTGCGGTCCATTTTTAAATCATTAAAACTAAAAGGTCTAATAGTCAATGGTTGTGATCAATATGATGGTTGATAAGTGTGGTTATGCTAGATTAATTAACATCAGTTTAAAAATTATAATAATTGCCTTTAACGGCATAAATAGCTTTAAGTAATCACAAACATACTAATTTGTTAATCACGCGAAGTACAAAAAAAAAAAAAACATACACAAAACATCCACATAAAAAAAATCTATAAGTAAGTAACTTTAACAAAAGACCAAGGGAATAGAAATCGAGAGACCAAGATCAAGAAGGGTCAAGGTACCAAGAGTCTCAAAAGACTAAAATATCAAACGACCAAAAGTCAACTAGTCAATAGACCAAGTCAACAGACCAAGTCAATAGACCAAGTCAAAAGACCAAGTCAATAGACCAAGTCAAGTGACCAAGTCAAGTGACCAACTCTGAAGACCCAAGAGATGATTAGACGAGAGACTACGGGTCAAGAGACCATATACCATCCCCAAGTTTTCACCAAACACAACTTGATCCTACAATAGCCCTACACTTTGTGTATGCCAAACACAAGTCCATCAATAATTCAAAAGGGAAAGTTGGTATGGCCAAATGCTACCAATCAAGGCTTCACTTTATATGGAGATCGGATGATGTCCAATGATGTTGGTTTGGAAAAATGCTTCAATTTAAGGTTTGAATTACTGAGGATGTCAAATGATTTCAGCTGATGTCGAATGATGTTGGTACGGCGAAGGTCACGAATCAAGGCTTCACTTGCTTTGGGTGTCAAATGATGTCAGAATGATGTCAAATGATGTCAGAATGATGTCAAATGATGTCAAATAATGCCAGAATTATGTCAAATGATGCCAGAATGATGTCAGAAATGATAGCAGAATGATGTCAGAATTATGTCAAATGATGGCCGAATGATGTCAGAATGATGTCAAATGATGTCAGAATTATGTCAAATGATGGCTGAATGATGTCAGAATGATGTCAAATGATGTCAGTATGATGTCAGAATTATGTCAAATGATGTCAGAATTATGTCAAATGATGTCAGAATTATGTCAAATGATGTCAAATGATGTCAGAGTAATGTCAGAATGATGTCAAATGATGTCGGTATGGCGAGATTCCATGAATGAATGACGCTCAAAATCCGACATAAACAAAGATGTGTGGTATATGGTCGTTAAACTGTATCAGCCCTTAGAACTTGCTTGGTCCTGCAGGTGTTATAACATACATTTGTGAAATATTTAATTTCTAATTTCAAATGTAAACCTTTAGATTCTCCCGACCCCAAAGTGTGAGGTTTATTAAGGAGAAGTTATGTACAGAGCCAAGTTTTTGGTTCGTGGGAACAATTAAATATAAAATTATCTGCTCCTCATTTGTCTTAACGTCTACGTTAATGCCATTGAAAATAACATTAAAATAATTTGCCCATAAGGTTAAAACACTAAATTGAGTCATTTTAAAATATTTGATATTTCAGTGTCTAACTAAAGTAAAGCAACTGGTCTTCTAATGTCAGATTGAACTGATATTCCAACTAATGATTGAATGACTTCCTCTGCAAACAATCCATTGTGTGCACAAAATGTCGAAAAACATGTATGATTGGGGAACGTGGAGCATTAGGGAACATCACCGTATGTCCACATGTATGATTGTGAAAACAAGGAACATTGACTGGAACATCGTAATTTTGTACACATGTATGATTGGGCGAACATTGACGGGAACATCATCTTATATCCACATGTATGATTGGGGGAATATTGATCATTGACATAACATCACCTTATACCTGTAACTGGCCAACATACACCTGAGTCTGGCCTAATTTGGTACAACTCACCAGACTGGCCGTGATTTTATTTTGATCAGGACATGCTCGGCTTTCATGTATGGAGTTATCGATCTTACGCCCTCTGGGGGTTTTCGTTATTAATTAAAAATCTAATTTAATTAAGCAAACAGTAAAATGTAGTTTAGCGTCACGAATAATTAATATTAAAAATAGATTTCAGCACAAAACTAGAAAGAGATGTTGAAAATGTTGATCAAGTCAACACAAGACCAGACAGAGATGTTGAAAACGTTGTTGAAGTCAGCAGTTTGAGTTGTATCTGTCTAGCTGTCAAATTATTGCTTGATTTGTATCGACCTGTCTGTCAAATTATTGTGGGAGCTGTATAAGTCTATCTGTCAAATTATTGTGGGAGCTGTATCTATCTGTCAAATTATTGTGGAAGCTGTATCTATCTGTCAAATTATTGTGGGAGCTGTATAAGTCTATCTGTCAAATTATTGTGGGGGCTGTATAAGTCTATCTGACAAATTATTGTGGGAGCTGTATCTATCTGTCAAATTATTGTGGGAGCTGTATAAGTCTATCTGTCAAATTATTGTGGGGGCTGTATAAGTCTATCTGACAAATTATTGTGGAAGCTGTATAAGTCTGACAAATTATTGTGGGAGCTGTATCAGTCTGTCAAATTATTGTGGGAGCTGTATAAGTCTCTCTGTCAAATTATTATGGGGTCTGAATAAGTCTATCTGACAAATTATTGTGGGAGCTGTATAAGTCTATCTGAAAAATTATTGTGGAAGCTGTATAAGTCTATCTGACAAATTATTGTGGGAGATATATAAGTCTATCTGTCAAATTATTGTGGGAGCTGTTTAAGTCTATCTGTCAGATTATTGTGGGAGCTGTATAAGTCTATCTGACAAATTATTGTGGGAGCTGTATAAGTCTATCTGACAAATTATTGTGGGAGCTGTATCTGTCTGTCAAATTATTGTGGGAGCTGTATAAATCTATCTGACAAATTATTGTGGGAGCCGTATATCTGACAAATTATTGTGGGAGCTGTATATGTCTATCTGTCAAATTATTGTGGGAGCTGTATCAGTCTGACAAATTATTGTGGGAGCTGTATATGTCTATCTGTCAAATTATTGTGGGAGCTATATAAGTCTATCTGTCAAATTATTGTGGGAGCTGTATATGTCTATCTGTCAAATTATTGTGGGAGCTGTATAAGTCTATCTGACAAATTATTGTTGGAGCTGTGTCAGTCTATCTGTCAGATTATTGTGGGAGCAGTATAAGTCTATCTGACAAATTATTGTGGGAGCTGTATAAGTCTATCTGACAAATTATTGTGGGAGCAGTATAAGTCTATCTGTCAAATTATTGTGGGAGCTGTATCTGTCTGTCAAATTATTGTGGGAGCTGTATAAATCTATCTGACAAATTATTGTGGGAGCTATATAAGTCTATCTGTCAAATTATTGTGGGAGCAGTATAAGTCTATCTGTCAAATTATTGTGGGAGCAGTATAAGTCTATCTGACAAATTATTGTGGGAGCTGTATCTGTCTGTCAAATTATTGTGGGAGCTGTATAAATCTATCTGACAAATTATTG